GTGGTGGACGCTGTCCCTGCACTGAGCTTCCTATGTGGGTCGAGTCTTCAGTCACCTATGAGTGTGGTCTCCTGCTTTGCTACTGGCTTCTTAAACTTGACATTACACAATTTGAATTCCATCCTTTGGTTCAAAACCAACAGGGGCTTTGCTCCTTGTGAAAAGTAAAAACAATCTTGAACAAGTAACACTGTCATTTACTTGTTTCTGCCATTTAAGCCAGGAATGTGAATGCTTTCCCAGGAATAGACTTTGTTTGGGGAAGGATACAAAGTCCAGGACTGAAAAGATGGGGAGAAGAGCTTGCAGCGTCAGCCATGGGAACACTTAAGGTTCGTTTCACTTCTGTCCTACTCAGGACCTCAGCCCTGGTGCTCCATTTCTGCACCTTTTCCAAATGTCTAGCTTTGCTTCTCAAAATGTGGTCTCTTAGCAAATGCTATCAAAATCACCTGTGAGCACTGGTCTAGACACACAGGATGCAAAACGTAGTAGATGAGTTGAAAACCTACATGTGATTAACTCTCACCACTACTACCCCATAAAACATAGCACCTTATTGGTACCTAAATTAAATATTTGTAATCAAATGTCTATGCGCCAGTGACTGTGCCAGGTACAGTGGAATAAAACACTCATGAATAAAGCTCCCTCAGAGTTTATGTTTTAGTTATGGAGACAGATGTGGAAAGAATTCATTTCAATATTTTGTAATAAGTGCAATAAAAAAATGAGAATATGTCTATATAGCAGGACATAGTTGGGGCACCTAACCTAGCTGAGGGAGGGCTGTGAAAGAAGACAAGCAGGAACGAGGCAGGAGGAAAGAGTTTAAGGTTGAAAGTGGGAATATTATTTGCAGCAGAGGCAACAACACATATGAAGTTCTGGAGTGAAAGTAGACCATGCCTCAACCTATGTGGAATGTACCTACTGTATACACAAAGATGTGTTTAGAACCTGATGATCATAATGGACCCACTTTTCAAAAAATATGCTTACCTTATAATTTTGAGGTCTCCAAGGAGAAATGGAAAGTTTTTTCTTATGTTGGAAGGAAAACTGTTACCTTTCTGTTCTCTAACCCACAATGCTTTCCAGTGTACTTGAGCATCTAAAAGGTCTTTAGCTTTTCCAATGGAAGCTAATCCGTATTTCTAGCAATATAAACCCAGCTGACCTCTGCCAGCCTGGCCCCAGTTATGACTGCACTTTCCTCCTGCATTGCCTCTTCTTTCTGACAATGAGTATCTTCCGCAAAGATGAAGCAGAACCTTATTAGGTAAAAGTAGTCTATAAAACAAAATTTCTCCTGGTATTTGTAAGAGTCCAGTTAGGAGACCGCAATCTCATCGTTTGTCTCAAAAGAGGGAATTTAATATTAATTAAATATTAAATCTGTAGAAGCCCTTGCTAATGTAGGGAGATGACCACATTCACTAGCTAAAGCATCTGGACCCCAGCTCCCACCCAAACAAGTTGCCCCACTTTGCTCATGGTTTGAGCTAAAGGGAATCTTATTAGATATTATTATTATTTTGAGACAGAGTCTCTCACTCTGTCACCCAGGCTGGAGTGCAGTGGTGCAATCTCGGCTCATTGCAACCTCTACCTCCCAGGTTAAAGTGATTCTCATGCCTCAGCCTCCTGAGAGTAACTGGGATTACAGGCCTGTGCTACCATGCTCGGCCAATTTTTCATTTTTTAGTAGAGATGGGGCTTCACCATGTTGACCAGGCTGGTCTCAAACTCCTGACCTCAAGTGATCCACCCACCTCAGCCTCCCAAAGTGCTGGGATTATAAGCATGAGCCACCATATCCAGTCTAAAGAGAATCTTAGAGGTTTCATTTAATGGTTTAATTTTAAGTTTGAGAAAACTGAAATTGCAAAACATAAAATCATTTGCCCAAGGCACAAAGTTAGCTAGTGAGATGTTTAAGTAGCCCAAATAGACGCAAACTAAGGGAGAGTCCATGGCAGGCAGGAAGGGATTCATGGAATGCTGGGAGAGAAAATAGTAGAACCAGGGAGAGAACAGCTTAAAGAATAAAGTCAGAACTGTATTTGAGCAGTGGTGAAAGAGCTCCATTTTCTTCAAGAGCCATACCGTGTCTTAATTCTTCTCTTCTTGAGTTGTAGAATTACAACTCAATTCACTAAATAAAAATCTTTCAATGTATATGGAGCCAGTAATACTGACTGAGAATCCACTATGTTCAGTAGCATCTAACACAAAGCAAGAGAGACAGGCTGGCCTCCGCTATCTGGAATGAGATAGGGTCATCGTAGTGGCTCCTCCACTGTCTAGAGATGTGGTCTCACCTTGGGCAAGTCATCTTGCCTCCCTATGCCTGTTTTCCCATCTATAGAACATGGCTAACTCTGTGAGCCCCATCCCCCTCATAGAATTGCCGCTAGAATTGCACTGACATGATATGGCTTTTAATTCCTGTATCTCTTAGGATTGATGTGAGAATACCTAAGGAGAAAAAAAGTGAGTTATGAAAATATAGATAATTATTGTTTTATATATGTTTAATTTTAATAATCAGAAAATAAAAGGAACTAGCACATGGTCTTATTGGAGTTTGAGATGGTAATAGCTCTCCCTCTTTTCTCTGAGCCCCAAACTAGCTAATAGATACAGGGGTTTAAAAAAATCTATATAGTGCTAACAAAACTATATTGAAGAACCTTGGACTTGAGACCAATGTAGGCATCCTAATACTTTTTCTTTGTTTGCCCCCACCACACACATACAAGGACATCAGATGTGCAGAGCAGATACTCACTCCACTTGCTGCATAGAGGACCTGGGCCTGCCTCATTTGTGCAGAGACAAAGCAAATGATGCCACAAATGTATGCAGCCTTTTATACATTGACTTCCTGCCCCAACAGCAGGCCACTGAATGCCTGACCCTCACCACCACACCAAACAGATACATGCCACTCTTCTTTTGTGGAAAATGGTCAGAAAGAGGAAAAACACTTTTTCCTCTTACTTCAGACAGGCTGGAATTTCTACTTTGTTGGCCAAGAAGAATAAGCAGTGAGAGAGAGAAGATTTCCCTCACAGGTGCCCACCCTACAAGGATGTCTTGCCAGTGACTCTAGTCACAAGAAGGATACGGCTGCAGGCTGGCCGTGTGCTGCTTCCAGTTGTGCCCACTGCAGCAGCCTGGACAATACGTCAGAATGAACAGTGGAGTGGAGGCAGCGGAAGTAATATTAGTGCCTGCCTGAGCCTAGGCTGCCCGAGGAAAGTTGGGGTGTGAAAGTCAAGAGGGAAAAGACCACTTGATTAAACAGTAGGTGTCTTGAGACTCCATTTCTTATATGGTTAGCTCGAAGTTAGGGTTTGGAAATAAAGTCTTTTTAAAAAAAACTTTTGATAGATAAAGAAGGCAGATCTTCACAATATTGAGGAGGAAGCAGCTGCATATTTTGGCAACCATTTAGAGGAAAAGAGTGAATACATGAAATATTGCTGCAAGAATATAAAGGAGGAATCTAAATAGACAGCCAAGAAAAAAGTGAAGAGTAGAGAACGGTAAATTTAGGAGATCTCCATATGATGTTGGTTTCTTAAAGATGGTGTATAAAAAATAACAGCCAGGGAGTGAGGAGAGAGGGATAGAAGCAAAAGGCTTGGAACAGTGAGCACCAAATCGAGGGAAAACTTCCCCGAGACACTTAAAAGATAATCAGAGAAACAGACTAAAGACTCAGAAAGGACAGTTTGTCTGGAGCTAGAAATGGAAAGAATCACAGGCAGACGCCTTCTACTATGTCAAATTCTTAATGGACCGAGAAATCTGCTGCACTAATAGCTCTGAACCAATTGCTTTGCATGGGATTCTGGGCTAGTACAAATGACTTTGCCAAACTTCAATTCCTTATTTTAAACACAGAATAAATAATAATTTCAAAGTGTGTGTAGCATTAGAACTATCAAGTTGACTCATTGTGAAGAAGCCAAGGAGTTTTTATCCTCAAGGGTTTTCTGATACAATGCAGAGAAAGGCTTGATTGGCCACTTCTGTAACACGCCTTTCCCTCTCTGCTCCTCTCACCTTCAGAGTGTGCTTTGCCTCATCTTCTTGCTCATTCCTTTAGAGAATGCTGTGCCACCACTTCACTGTCTTCCTGGTCTGGCATATCCGCCGATAGACCTGACATGGCCACAGAGAATTGTTTATATAAATGTAAGAGTTTTGGTGACTTTAGATGGCTCTCTGTTCTTAAGCTAGCTACTTATCTTACTTGGATAAAAGGTGTGCTCTTTGTGGATAATCAAATGGTAGATTTTGCTGAAAGCAACCCTAAAAAGTGTCATTGGGATCTGAAATTAAAATAAAATCAAAGCCCAGCTTATAAAAGCAGCAATTGTCAAAGGGTGTTATTAACTTTGAACTATCACTAAGTAAGGGATCATTTAGTCGAGATTTAAATATCTGAATTTCTAAATGACACCATTTGGAATAGATCCTTTTCTGCTAGTCAGCCAGGTGAAGGAATAAAGAGAAAGTTAATCAAAACATTCTTGACTATCTGTTGGAAAGAATGGAAGGAAACTAAAAGTGGGACTATTTTAAAGGCCTTAAACTTTGCTAGCTGATTTTATATACTTTAATCTCATTATGGCATCAATATCACTATCTGCATTTTAAAGGTACATAAACCTATATTCTGAGGTTAAGTCACTCATTCACATTCACACAACTGTTAAGTGACAAACCCAAAATGCCCCAAACTGAAAGCTTTTCCACAAAGATTCAGTACAAAGCAAGCATGCCCACTTTTACCACTTCTATGCAATCGTACTAAAAGTACTAACAAAAACAATTCAACAAGAGAAAAAAATAATAGACATCTAGATCGCAAAGAAAGAAGTAAAATTATCTTTATTTGCAAATATGATCCTACATTTAAAAACCCCAAAGATTCTACACACACACACACACACACACACACACACACACACACAAACACACACGAAAAACTGGTAGAGCTAATAAATGAATTCAGTAAAGTTGCAGGATATGAAGCCAACATATAAAAATTAATAGCATTTTATGTACCAATGAAAACCTAACTAAAAAAGAAATTAAGAAAGCAATCCCATTTATGGTACCATCAAAAAATGCTTAGGAATAAGTTTAATTAAGGAAGTAAAAGATTTGTATACTGAAAACTATAAAACATTGATGAAAGAAATTGCACAAAAGAAGAATAATGGAAAGATTTCCTATGCTCATGGATCAGAGAAATAATATTGTTAAAATATTCATATTACCCAAAGCAATATATAGATTCAACTCAATGCCTATAAAAATCCCAATGGCTTTCTTCATGGAAATAGAGAAAACAATCCTGAAATTTGTATGGAAACAGAAAGGACCCTGAATAGTCAGAACAATTCTGAGAAAGGAAAACAAAGTTGGAGGCCTCACATTTCCTGATTTAAAGTGATATTACAAAGTGATAGTAATTAGTACAGTAGGGGAATAAAAACAGACACATAGAGCAATGGAACAGAATACAGAGCCCAGAAATAAATCTAAACATATATGATCAACTAATTTTTTGATAAGGGTAGGAAGAAGGCACAATGGGAAAAAGATGGTCTCTAAAAGAAATGTTAGTAGAAAAACTGGGTTTTCACAAGTAAAATAAATAAAATTGGGCTCTATGCCATATATAAAAATCACTTCAACATGGGTAAAAGACTGGAAGCCAGAAAACTCCTAGAAGAGAACAAGGGAGAAAGCTCCTGGGCATTGGCCTTGGCAATGATTTTTTTTTTTTTAGATATTTCATGAAAAGTTCAGTTCACAAAAGCAAAAATAAATGGGAATCTGTTAAAATAAAAATCTTCTGCACAGCAAAGCAAACAATTATCAAAAGGAATAAATGACCCATGTATTGGGAAAAAATATTTGTAAGTCATATATCTGATAAGCTGTTAATATTGAAATTTATGAAGAACACATACGATAAATAACCTTATTTTTCAAATGGGCAAAAGACCTGAATAGACATTTCTCCAAAGAAATAAACATTGCCCACAGGTATATGAGAGGATGTTCAACATCATTAATCATCAGGGAAATGCAGGCCGAAGCCGCTATGAGATACCACCTCACACTCATTAGGATGGCTATTAACAAAAAGTCAAAAGGCAGTAAGTGTTAGCGAGGGTATGGTGAAAAAGGAACTTGTATTCTGTTGATAAAAATGTAGATTCGTACAGCCATTATGAAAAACAGTATGTGATTTCTAAAGAAATTGACAATAAAACTACCATATCACCTAGTAACCCTTTTTCTGGGCATATCCAAAGGAAATAAAACTGGCATATCCAAAGGAAATAAAACTAGCGTCTCATAAAGATATTTGCACTCTCATGATTATGGCAGCATTATTCACAATAGCCAAGATATGGAAACATCCTAAGTATCTGTCAACTGATGAATGGATAAAGAAACTGTGAGTGACACACACACATACACACACACACACACACACATACACACACACACACACACACACACACACACACGGGAATATTATTCAGCCCTAAACAAAAAACAAGATCTTACCATCTGGCACAATGTGGATGAGCCTGAAGGACATTATGTTAAGTAAAATCAGCCAGGCAAAAAAAAGGAAAATGTTTCATGATCTCACTTATATGTGGAATCCTAAAAACAAACAAAAAAACAAATATACAGAAAGAACAAAACAGTGGTTTCAGGGGAGAAGGAAATGAGGAGATGTAGGTCAGAGGATACAAAGTAGCAGATATGCAGGATGACTAAGTCTAGAGAGCTAATGTACAACATGAGGACTACAGGTAATAAAATAGTGCTGTATTTGGGATTCATGCAAAATGAGTAGATTTTAGCCAAAAATAAAAGAGATAATAACTACATGAGATGATGAATATACCCATCTGATTCACTATTGTAACCTTATTTTACATCTATACGTATCCCATAACAAAACATACTCAGTTAGCAGTGACCATAGTTTTAAGTATCCCTGTTCACTTGCTCCTCCCTAAGAAGTAATAATCACTGTTCCCAGAACTGTGGCTCATGACTGTAATCCCCAGCACTTTGGGAGGTCTTGAAGTCCTGAGGTCAGGAGCTCAAGACCAGCTTGGACAATAGGGGCAAACCCCGTCTCTACTAAAAATGCAAAAATTAGCCAGGTGTGATAGCATGGTAGCGTGGTGGCATGCACCTGTAATCCTAGCTGCTCGGGAGGCTGAGGCATGAAAGTCACTCGAACCCAGGAGGCAGAGGTTGCAGTGAGCCGAGATCACACCCTTGCACCCCCACCTGGGTGACAGAGTGAGGCCCTGTCTCAAAAAAAAAAAAAGGAATAATAATGATAATGACAATATCTCTTGATGTTTATTGAATGATACTTATGTAGACATCCTACTAATCATATAACCTGGATGTTTGATTTGTGTCGTCATTTCCACCCTGTAATGCTGGCTTTCTTGATACCTCTATCTAACAAATAAAGATACTAAATGAAGCTTAGATTTAATGACTTGAACACAGTCACAAAGCTAGTAAGTCGTCAAGTAGGGTTCTACCATGGAAGGTCAGATTTTGGTCTTTAACCATAGCATCTATAAACAAAGATATGCTTTTATATTATCAACCAACACTTCTTATAGGGGCAAGTGATTTGAAGCATGTTTCCTGTGGTAAAAATATTCTTAACATGGCTGATTTTTAGCTATCAATGTGAAATCACTGGCTTATAGTATACCTGAAAATTTAATTATCAGTGCTGATGTATTAGGGAAATTTGTTTAATGATTCAATATGTCAAAAAGACTGAAATGCTCACCTAATATGTCTTAGAACCACCTGGTTGGAGTTGGGTAACATTGGTGTGAACTAACATGGTTAGTTTTGAAGTAAAAGTGGTACTTGAACTCAGGGTCTCGAACAATGGGAGACACTTAGGGTGGTAGAAGGGCGTCCCAGGTGCAGAGTCATGAGCAAATAGGGAATGTCTGGGAGACAGTGAGATTAGACTGGCCCAGAGTAGCTTAGGAGGAAGAGTCTAGAAAGGAACTCATTTGACAGAGGAACATTTCATTTAAGGTCTTAAATGAGTGGAGGACGGGAGCTGACATCTTTAGCTTCCTTGGTTTGGACTGTGGGACAGGCAGTGGTACCCATCCAGAAGGCAATACCTCTGGGTGCTGGCATTTTATATTTTTCTGTGGATCACTCCAGGTGTTCAGATTTGTAATTTCACTTTCAATCAAAATTCTCATTCCGCGGAAATTGTTTTATATGCAGATATGAATGATACATATTTGAAATTAACTTGAACCAAAAAATTTTAAAAGACGTTCAGTGTCCCAAATTTGAGATAAAATAAATAAATAAACTCCCTTTCATCTCATTTTTCAAATGATAGTCCTTAGTAACCTAAGGACTAAACAAAAATGATAAAAAACAAAACAGTTTGTGTTATTTCATGTTCTTGTCTGGAATTCTGTTGCATACTCAGAGATGAAAACCCCCGAAGGTGGAACCTAAGCTCAGCAGCCTTAGAAGTATTTGCAAGAAAGACTTGGAACCAACCCAAATGCCCATCAATGATAGACTGGATAAAGAAAATGTGGCACATATACACCATGGAATACTATGCTGCCATAAAAAGGGATGAGTTCATGTCCTTTGCAGGGACATAGATGAAACTGGAAACCATCATTCTCAGCAAACTAACACAAGAGCAGAAAACCAAACACTGCATGTTCTCAGTCATCAGTGGGAGTTCAACAATGAGAACACATGGACACAGGGAGGGGAACATCACACACTGGGGCCTGTCGGGGGGTAGAGGGCGAGGGGAGGGTTAGCATTGGAAAGATACTTAATGTAGATGACAGGATGATAGATACAGCCAACCACCATGGCACATGTATACCTATGTAACAAGCCTGCATGTTCTGCACATGTACCTCAGAACTTAAAGTGTAAAAAAAAAAAAAAGTATTTTGCAAGAAGCAGGGGATTTCAAACACCATTTGAGATCTTCATTCCCAGAGGAAAAGGACTCCTCATGATAGTGGGTCGTGCTGCTCTAAGACAGCCTTATGGAGTGAAGCTGCCACTCTGATATGCAATTCCAGCCCAATTCAGCTGCCTTCTGGAAAACTTATTGTCCATAGATACAGCTGGAGATGAAGATGGAGCTGAAATGAAGTCCTGCTTTGTTTTTCTGGGTTATTTTCTTTGTCAGAGAAGCTGGTCTTAACATATTTTGCACTAGCAACATAATAGGAGACACTGAATTCACAATCATCTCAGGAGAAAACGCCCTCCCTCCCTTGCAGTTGCAAATCCTTTGCCCAAATGCAGGCATGTAAATAACTAGAATAACTAGAGTCAAACTCAGAGCCTCGAGGGAGGGAATTCATAAACACTGTGCAAAGTGGTTTATAAATGTCATGTTATTATTTCTTAAAATGGGTTAGGCAGGTGTTTATCCATGCTTTTTTATAGAACAAAATGATTTTGTATTCTCGAGTCTTTCTCCTGTAGACTGGAAATGGTCACAGGCTGTCTCCAACACATAAGAGTGCACCGCATGTCAGAGCTAGAAGGGGCCTCAGCGTTCAGCTTGCCCAGCTGGCTCCTTGTGCTGAGGTCTGGAGAGCCAAAGAGACTTGCCTCAGGTCACATCCTGGACGAATTACTAGATGCACTAAGCCTGAAACCCAGAGACCTGCTCTCAATCCAGGGTGATTTTTGTAACACCCCAGGGGAAGGAATGTTAATTCAGGCAAGCAAGTGACAGAGTGTCAGGTAGCCACTTGGAATGCTAAATCCATGTTAATAATGCCACCATATTTTAAAAACATAAATATAGAGGTTACTACACAAACAATACAGATTATTGACCTTTTAAGGAAAATAAAAAATATAGATAAGAAAAATAATGAATGGAAAATGAAATAATCATCTTACCACCCAGAGAGAGTCACTAATTGAACCATGGTATCCACATCTCTAGATGTATCCACATCTCTGTGCTTATAAATTGATTCCTATACACCTGAGACCACATTATACACACTATTTAATAATCAGCTTTGCAGCATATTTCGAACATCTTTCCAAGTGGATATATCTTCATCTATGTTATTTTTTGTGACTGAGCAGCATTCCATGGCATGATTGCTTTATGATTTATTAAGCCAGAATCCTAATATGAAACCTCTATGATCTTTTGATTTTTCATCACTAGAAGCAACAGGGACATGGTGTGATCGCTAAATGGGCTCAGCCTCTTTCTCATTGTGCTTCCTTAGAGCTGTATCAGCACGGACGTTTCTAACCTCTTTGAGCCATTTTTTCAGCTAGCAATCATGCCTCCCTCCTAGGGCCATTTGGTGTCTTAAGGCAGGTAAATTAGGAAGTGCTCAACACAGGTTAATTTCTTTAGTTATTATTTAGTTATATATTTTGTTATTAACAACGCTTCCACAAAAATCTGTATAGCCAAATTTTGGGGTACATCCTTATTTCCTGAGAATGTCTTAGAAATTGTGTTATTAAATCAGAAAATATGTATGCATTTTTCACATTAATTGCCAAGCTGCCCCCTTAAAAGACTGTACCAGGTTATTTTCCCACGAAAAGAAACAAGAGGGCTCATTTCCTCACACATTCTGCACACTGGCATTAGAATTTTTTTTTTTTACAATCTTTGCTAAATTTAGTTGTTAAAAAGATATGTCATTATTATTTTAATGTTATTTTTCTGTGTTTTGGCGACATTAAACTGTTCTTATCTACATTTTGTCCATTTACATTTCTTCTTCTTCCTTTTGATTTTTTGACTTGTCTCTGACACAGTATGATCTCTTCAGAATTGGTCATGAAGTCCACTAAGCAGCTGCTTTAGTCCTTTGGGTCAAGGTGGATAAAAATAGTCCAAAGACTATACACAGTCCAGATTCCTGCCCTCTCTATAATGCCTGCTTGCAAAATGTATCCAGTAGACATTGGTGGAATGGCTAATTGATCACATGAATAGATGGATGAATGAATGATGAATACAGGACCAAGGTGGGTGGATCACAAGGTCAGGAGTTCGAGACCAGCCTGGCCAATAAGTTAAAAACCTGTCTCTACAAAAATATAAAAAATTAGCCAGGTGTGGTGGTGGGTCCCTGTGATGCCAGCTGCTTGGGAGGCTGAGGCAGGAGAATTGCTTGAACCGGGAGGTGGAGGTTGCAGCGAATCAAGATCATGCCATTGCACTCCAGCCTGGGCAACAGAGCGAGACTTTGCCCTCCTCTCCAAAAAAAGAATGATTTCCTACAGTAGTCTTGCGGCAATTGCCATGATGTTGATCTCCAGGTTTGCCTAGTCCTCTCTTCTTTCCATTTAAAGAAAGATCCCTAGCCAGGGACCACACAGATAGTGAAACTCTCACTACTAGAAACTCCATCCCATTGCAAAGGTTTTCTCAGTATTCAAGCACACAGGCAGCTCAGCTTTATAAATAAAGGGTTAGAGGATGAGTCTAAGTAAGCAATAAGTGTTCATCAAATAAACTAAATTATCTTTAATTTTAATTGATAAATCGAATCTTTGTCATGCACCAACCAGGCAAAGGAACCAGGCTCTAAAGGAAGCAAGTCTATTAGGAATATAGAGGGAGGAACAGTGCGTAGCGCTGTCACTATCCTCAAGTTATTTCAGGCCTTTCAGATGCTGCAGGAGCCAGGCAGGTAAGTCATTGTAGTAATGCAGCCAAGTGAAGGAGGACAACCTTGATTTAAAGGGGACAGTCACTCCTTAGCTCTAGACAAGTGCTGACTTACCAAGAACATGGATCTAGAGTTGTCA